AGGCCGAGATGTATTCTGCTACATGTCTTTGGTAAAAATAACCCAAATTAGGATGTATTATTTAGTTTGTAGGAAAGTTCTAAAGTTTACAAACTATGGTATAGATCTAAAAATTGATCAATCCTGAAGTACTGACAGCCAATCTAATTTCTTGAGGTCCAAGAAAGTCAGAATAGTACAGATATCCCCAAATGACCCCTTTTTGTAAAGTAGACAGTCCGACGTACTTCATAAGAGGCATGGCAAGTTTTTTGAAGTTGTATTTTTTTTTGTCATAATTTTTCAGAAAATGAAAAAATGAAAAATTTTCACTTTTTTTTTTTTTTTTTTTTTTTTACACAATTTGCTTATAGCAAAGAATTACTTTGCTATAAGCAAGCATTTACCTGAATGACATCGATTCATTCAGGTTTTTTATTTTTTTTTAATTTTTTTTTTGTGCTTAGCTGTGTTTTGGCCACAGCTAATCACATGACATGTGCATGTGACCTGCTGTGACCATTCACAGCTAGGCAGTAGTATATACAATGGATAGCATGAATGAAGCCATCCATTATATACAACTGTCATGTGACCTGCTGTGATTGGTCACATGGTACCGGCAACGGGGGCCGGTACTCAGATCTGTCATCGGCCGTGTCCGACGTACACGGCCGGTGACAGATTGCGCGGCTCTGCAACCGTGCGAAACTGCGCATGTGCGGGAGGACGCCAAATGGTGTATACCACGGAAATCTACAGCATTTTTGCGGCTGCCAAACGGCTATAGTCCGGGCGGCTAATGGTTAAAGAATTTTCACACCTGTTTAGTAACCTCTTCACTTTTTTGATATGAGACTAGCGTGCAGAAACAAAAAGGATGATCATTTGTCCGATTTTCTAAATGTGTATATAGGGCTTTATGGTGAAGGATAATTTATATGTAATATTTCAAACAATTATCCAAATGTTACGGTATGAGGAATAAAACATTTAATTTTTCTTTTTATTCCAGGTTTTATAGAAGTATTAAAATATATTCTGCTTATAGAAACTATAAAATGATATTAATTTCCAGTTCTTTATTAAGACCTCCAGCAGATAAAACATCTAAGGCACACATCCAGAGTTTTTCTTTCTGATACAATTTCTGGAAGCGTTTTGCTAAGGGAAGTTCTTTTGGGATTGCCTCAATTACCCAAACTTTTAGGCTATCTGTGGATTTTGCCTGGTATTCTGAAAAGTGTCTAGGCATTTTGTGTTGGTCTTGGCCTTCTTCAATTAGCTGGAGATGTTCACCAAAACATTTCCGTAATATACGCGTGGTTCTGCCCACATATAACAAACCACAAGGACAGGATAAAGAATACACTACATATTTAGATGAACTAGTGTGGAGTCCCTTTTTTATTTATTATGTCTTGCTCTTAGTGCAGAAGTTCTTTTTTCCATGTTCTATAAAATGGATAATTGTTTGAAATCCTACATATGAATTATCCTTCACAGTAAGTCACTATATAAAGATAAAATAGCCACTTAGTGTTATAAATCTCCACCTATCTTTTTCATTGTCTTTCCTTTCTAAATTTTTTTTATCAGTATTGATAACTTCTATTTAAAGCGGAGTTCCAGCTGGGGAAATAAAACAGCAGCTACAAAAACTGTAGCTGCCGACTTCTAAAATACAGCCACTTACCTGTCCCTCATACCAGCGGTGTCCTCGCCACAGCTGGTTTCACCGGCTGTCTTCTCGTCTTAATGCCGGCATCTTTAATGTGGGCACCCAGCTGTGACAGCTTGTGGCTTCACAGCCGGGTGCCTGCTGCACTTTGTGAATGGCCCTGTAGTCTTCTAGGACTTGTCATGTGTCGCCTTGCGATTGCAACGGAAATGGGAGCGGGTACCTGTCAAATCCGGGTACCCGCTCCCCAAAGGTGCCAATCCTTAATGGGAAGCGGGGGACAAAGCATTAAAGCGGAACTTCCCCTTTCCTTTTGAGCATATTCTCTATGTATGCAGGTTGTGATATGTATTACTTCAACTATTCTTATTGCTATTTTTATTATCATTTTCAGATTGTGTACATCATAGTTGTTGTGTGTGCCATTTTTATTATTTGTATTATGGGTATTGCCATTGGTATCGGTGGTGGTTGTTTGTTGTTGTTTCGGATTATTACATCAATCTTGCCATATGTATAGTCCCAGTCACCCTTCTATCTTCATTGTAATATCAATTGGTTTAAGCTCCTCCTCCCATTGCCACTATAGATCACTGTTCCTCAGCCTGGGGCGTTAGGTCTGACAAAGAAGTATATGCGCATGTTTCGCAGCGCGTTACCACTACTTTGATGTCACTTCCTACTGTGTACCAGCGTGGTTCCGGAGGTTCCTGGCAGCCATACACCGCTCAGCACCACTGGTCAGTGTGCTATTGGATACTGGATCCCTGGCAGGAGGAATTCATTGACCGCTAAACTAAATATAAAAAATATATAAAATAAATATGCTGTTATTTCGCCATGCTCTAGTAAGTGCATTTTATTTCATGTGTCCTAATAAATCTTTCCAACCTATTACACTTAGAAGCGTCTCCTCTCTTCCCTTGCTTGTTGCTGTTAAGAGCCTTGCTTCTCTCTCCTGGAGTGCTGCTGCAAGTGTTTGAAGGTTATCCATTTCTCCCCACCACCACACGGATGTTTTTAGCCCACACATGACTGTTTGTTTAGATTCTTATGGTCTCTCTCTTACCAGAGCACCCTACATATCCTACTATTGTGGGCCCTCTCCCCACCCGCAGTTTCTTAAAATTGCATTCACATGTAACCGCACTTCTATGTGGTCATGGAGCTTTTCAGAGGAAAGTCTGTTGCCCGCTTTAGTTATTTTTAGTGATAACTTTGGAGAACTCGGGAACCTGATGCTGCACTTGGCAGTCTATGGCCACAAAGGCATCCTTGCTTGAAAATATTACCATATTAAATTTAAGTTCACTTACTGGTACTAACTACAATAATAAAAACTCAGCTTATGTATGTTATTCTCCAAACAGCATATAACACAACCCTTTTTACCAAAAAGTATGGTAGAATGAGTAAACACATAGTTGAAATGTAAATGTTCTCCTGGTCTTGAAGTCCTCGTGCACACAGGACGTTAAATTCTCCTAGAAGCCATCCTCCTGGCAGCATCATTTTTGTAGAAAAATGCCTGACACTTCTAAAGATCTAACGCTTTTACAAGCATTTAGATGCATTTACAGGTGTCAAGCGCTTGGGCGTTAATTCATTTCAAATGCCAGAATGAACTATATTCTGGCCATTTGAAATGAATTAACACTTAAGGGCTAAACACGCCTAGCGTTAACATGCATTTAGGTGAGTCTAGATGTGTTCACCCACATTTACGCTTTTTTCTGCCAAAACACTGCTGCTCCTGGACGCACTGACCCTGGATTTTTTCTCTCCTGCCTGTAAATGCTTCTGCCACTAAAATCTACTAAAAGTCTGTGCATAGGATAACATGGAGGGCTGTTTTGTTTTTTTTTTTGTTTTTTTTTTACGGCCTATAAAAAAAAAAAAAAAAAAGCCCTGTATGCATGAGGCCTAAGGGTTAAATGAGTGTGAGATCTGAAGAGCCAAATTAAATTTTGGTAAATGATGTGGTAAATGTGTCCACTGTGAAAAATGTCCAATTAAAAGTCGATGGGACAATGCCAATCCTTTGTACATCACTGCTAACTAAACTTTTTTTTTTGCATCTTCTGACTTTCCGATTTGCATGAATTATCATGGAATGTTTAAAGCTGAACTCTCAATGATGTAAAAAATACCAATAAATGTATTCCTTACAAATTTAAATGTGTTTTTAAAACCAAGTATTGTAAAATAAATACTAAAAATTTGCTTTCAGCCTTTTGAAATCCAGTAGAACTCAGACTAGGAAAGCGAAGGGAAATACTAGGAACCAATCGGGTGTATTTCTTACACAGCGTGCTGACGGGCATGTAGATATGAGAGAAGGATTAGTGAAATCCACCTGCTGCGGTTTCATGTGCAGGCAAAAGGGGGGGGGGGGGGTGAGGTGGGTTCCAAGGTGAATTGCTTCAACTGCAGCATAGAAAAGTGAGGTCACCAGTCTTACTGTACTGCTGAGCGGTTTAAATTCTCAAGTTTGACTGAACAAAAATGTACATCTTCTTCATACCTCCCAACTGTCCTTGATTTTGAGGGACTGTCTTTGATTTGGAACATTTTGAGGGACTGTCTTTGATTTGGAACAAAGTCCCTCTGTCCTTCTTTCCTCCTCATTTGTCCCTTATTTTTGGTTTGACCTATATAGTTCTGTATAACATGCACTATTTATCTATTAAAAAGTGTCTCTCTTTCTAAATCTGTCTAAATCTTTCATCCAGTTTCTAAATTGTTGCATTTGTATACTTCATAAGCCAGTATGAAGGAATAGTAGTGGTTGGGTTTAATTAATCATCCTTTTTTTTTTTCTTTTCCTTTTTCCCTTTTCCTTTTTTTGTTTTTTTTTTTTTCTGTCTAATTCTCCTTTTTAAGGGGGGGGGGGGGGGGGGGGGGCGGCATGGCAGGGTTGTGTCCTATATTACATACATATGCTAATAGGTGTCCTTCGTTCCCGTCTCAAAAAGTTGGGAGGCATGTCTTTTGGCAACTAAAATGGTTCCCATATATGTATTTTATCAGAGTACTTTTAGCTGTTTGCCTGGAGTTCAGCTTTAACTTTGGTGCCAGGTTAAATGAGGAACACAATCTAATGCATTCACTAAATCCAACAGAAGTATATTGCTTAGACAACATTTCCCACATTGCTTTCAGAACCTTTGGCCTTCTGCATCAACTTCCATCCACGTTTCCATCTGCTTAGTCTGTAACATGTGATATATGTGATACTCACTGCAGTTACAATTACTTTGCAGATTTTAAAATTAAAAAAGCGTTCCTAAAGAAGTCTGAGAAACTTTACGGATCCAAGCCGAAATACTTGGGCCCAAGCATGAGTCAGAACTTGGAATCCATCAACAAGTGGGTCAGTGATGCAACAAAGGGAAAGATCAGAGACTTTCTCTCCAGCATTTCAGAAAAGGTTGTGCTAATACTCCTGAATGCCATACATTACAAAGGTAAAAGCCTCTGGATGCTATTGTCTTTCTTTGTTTTATTTTAAGTAGTGCTTTTTGTTTTTGCTAAATAGTGTTGAATACCCCCATATTATAGGGTTATCAGAACTTGGTGTTGCAGGCAGTCCAAGGTTAGATTTCTGACCATTGTTATTGTATCATCCCTATGAAACAGAGCCCTAGGACTGTAGAGTTCTATACATCTCTTTAAAGAAGGACTGTAAGTATTTTAAGGTGTGGTGAAGTATTTATTTATGGCAATACTGGGACAGGTTCTTCCAGCTCTCAGGCAAGGATCCAGAACTGTGCCCCCTGCTGCTAATGCATGATGTAAAATGGGTGTACCAAGATGTGTCCATTCATTGCCCCCTTGCTCTGGCTGTACATGGGCTGGTGTGTAGTGCGCACTGCACATGCATAGCCAATCACTTGCCTTCTAGCAGCTAGAAGGTAGTTGTGCAAGCACTATGGTTTTTATTTTCATGTCAGATGTGGGTGGATGGGGTGATAATCGAGCATGGTGTGACAGCAGTAGCTGTCAGAGCAGACATAAAGCCTCTGGTTGCCAGCCACTGATCTGGAGCCTGCCGTGAGGATCCTACACTGTGCCCAGGGGGGCTGCCCCTCCTGTCCACCCTTTGTCCCCACCTTGTTTATTGGATACTACATGTGAGAAAAAAGTAAAGATACAGGACAGTCTGCCACCCTTTCAGATGTTGCTGCCTAATGGCCCATACAAACGATAACATTTTTTATCTTTCTCATATGATACCAGATCGTACTATTTTTTTCATTTAATCAGTACAGTAGTTGTTCAAAAATGCAAGACAATACATGACATCACTTAATGAGTGGTTCAATCCATAAGACATTTTTCATCAGAAAGAAGCGACCAGTCTTGACAAAAAAAATCTAGTTGGCTTCCACCAAAATGATCATCCTTGTTGTTTTGAGCACTTTGTTGAAGGGATTGAAACCAATCATTTGCTCTAGGGTTGCACCGATACCATTTTTTTTTTTTCTTTTTTTTACACTGCCGGTACTGTTTTTTGTTTACACTTTTTCAGCTGTCAGCAGGAGAATACCACTGACAGCTGAATGAGTGATCAATTGTTGAGGATGCAACAGCCCTGCTTCTTAACCACTTTGGCTCTCACCTTTACAGCCCTCATGGACCACAGCAATTTTATAGATCGATAAACAGATACATAATAAAACAATGTTTTTTTTTTTTATCTTTGTTTTGGCGGCTGAGCAGTGTTGTCAAACATTGTCAGGCTCCTCAGCTGACAGCTGAATGAGTCATTGGTTAAGGACTCAATGGCCCCACTTCTTAACTACCATTTAATTGCCAGTTTTTTTTTTTTTTTTTTTTTGGTGTTTTTTACATTTTTCATTTCAGCTGTCAGCGGTTGAAACCAAGCCTGAAGGTATCGGTTTCAGGTACTGGAGCATTTGCACGAGTACTGATACTCATGCAAATGTTTAGTAACTGCAGCCATACCAGTATTGGTATCATAGCAACCCTAATTTGCTCAAGTGATTATTCATTATGTGTATGGCCAGCATACCAGTTTGGTAAGGTGCCCAGATAAAGGGCCTGTGTCTTCAGACTTTCATACTTAAGTCAACCTCCATGCAATCAACACAAGCTCAGACTTCAGAATTTACTGACTGGTAGATTTGACCTGAAGCTGACCTCCTTCTGACTTGCATATTACATGTTTCAAGCAGCTTCTGGTTTTTAGCAGACTTTTGTATAGAATTGCAAAACCTGTCTGATGCAAACAAAAGCCCATCAAAACAGTCGAGCAGCTGACACACGTTTTTAAGCACTGTACAGGCCATGGACGTCTGTCAAATTTATTTCCCTGTGTATTGATTGTATGTGAGTCGTGCATGAATTTTTTTCTAGATCATGACCACCAATAATCCCATGTATGCACTACTCAAACTGGGAGATGAAGAGAGGGTACAAGAAGTCAATCGGGTTTTGCAGAATGCACCTGTGCAAGTGCAGAATCGTAGACTCATGAGCAGCGTGCTTTTGCAATTTCATTTTTCTATCAGCAGGCTGGGAGCATGTTCTTGACCAAGGTCTTCTGCTGCAGTGGAGGCCATTAGTGTTGGAAACTCCTGTTGTCACTGCAAATAATAAACACAGCAACATAAAAGGCATTTGTAATACTGTACTTGCTATTACCATTATGCCACTACTATGTCCCTGAGCTATTGTATACAGTATATTATAACTGCCCAAACTTCCACCTTCTTATCAATAAATTGCAGAGTTTACAATATTTGGCCAAGCCATGCTTTCACAAGCTCCATCACTTCTTAATAGGGACCAATGGGTTGAATACATGTCAAGAAAAAAGATGGCCGAGAGAGTAGGCAAGTTAGACACTAAAGTCAGGTCCTTAAGGATGGTCAAGACAATATTCACTGAAGGGGATAACTCTAACTGAAATCTGGGCTTTTAATAAAATTTCAAAGTACTAGTTCTTTATTTCAGAAAGGAATTTCCACTTCCTGCTAAATTCATTTTGTGTGTGCAGGTGTCTGGAAAAATAAGTTTGACCCCGGAAATACTTCTGAAGATACATTTCATGTAAACAATGAGGAGAACACGCTGGTGGATATGATGCATGCAAATAAGTATCCACTGAGTTACTTTTTGTTTGACAAGTTGGATAGTCAGGTAAGTGTGCATATAATGTTGCTTTTTACTTGAATATACTGGCCACTGGATGAAGGGGTATCAGAATTGGACCCAAATAACTGTTCAGACCAATTGTGATTTATTCCTTCTTATAAGTGTTCACTTGAACTGAACAGTCATGACCTAGGGAAGTTGAGATGTGTCCTCCCTATTTTTATATTTCTATCCTGCTTTTCCTTTAATTTAATATGTACAGCAAGTGTGCCCATTTTTTACATATGCAGTTGCGTTGACTTGGCATTAACAAAAAAAAATGGTTTTGCAGCACACCAACGCACATCACATGCTTTATGCAATACAGTGTTTTGAATGAGCTCTCAAACTAGTTGGGTCCAATGCAGTGCATCTAATGGTTTATATATGTTGCATTAAGGCAACCATTCATTTGAATGGGCTGCCTAATGCTCCACAACGGACCTTAAATTGTGCCTGCTACAATTTTTTTTTTTTTTTTTTTTTTTTTTTTTTTTTTTTTTTTTTTTTTTTATTTTTTATTTAAATAAATAAAAATTGCTTTTTTTTTTTGATTGTTCCGCAGTACACAGCAAATCAGGCGAGTTGGGGTGCCACCCAAAAAGAATGAACTTTTAATGAATGAATGGCACTATAATGCACCAATGCATGTAACAGGCATTGCATGGTAATGCAGCACAATGGTGTGAATGGCCTCTAAATTGTGAAAGTCATATCAAAATGTAATTGTAAAAAATGTTCTTTTGCATCTGGATTTACCCATGCAGGCATGTATGACACATTATCCTGAACGTGAGACCTCCACATTAGGAAAATAGATCATGCACATGTGTGCAAGTAAATGCTGATTGAAAAGAGCTTTGCTGTTTTATAGGAGTACAAGTCCATACAGCCAGCCACAGAAGTACATGTCTGTATCATCTTGTACTCATATAAACGCCAATCTTTTTTGCATTGGCATTTACCCACACATGCATGCATGATGCATTTTCCTGATAGCAAGATGTACAAGTTCAGGAAAATACACCATGCGCACATGGGTGGGCGTCTGCTGATGTGCAAGTACAGTGAATATACTTCAAAATGTATAATACTCCAATGACATATCTGAGCATATCATCATGGCTTCTCCAAGCACATAAACGTATACTTCATACTGATTTGATGAAAACAGAAAAATTTTACAAGATTTTCAACTTTGCTGTTGTACAGTATGTGAGGCTAATGGATGACTTATTTCCTTTTTTTTCTTTTTTCTCTTCTTTTTTTTTTCTTCCTTTTTTTTTTCTTTTTTTCTTCCTTTTTTTTCTTCCTTTTTTTTTCCTCCTTTTCTTCCCTTTTTTTCTTCCTTTTTTTCTCTTCCTTTTTTCCTTTCTTCTCCCTTTTTTTTTTGTCCCTTTTTTTTCCCTTTTTTTCTTCCCTTTTTTTTTTCCTGTCTTCCTCCTTTTTTCCTCTTTCTTCCCTCCTTTTTTCCCTCCTTTTCTTCCCTCCTTTTCTTCCCCCCTTTTTTTCCCCCCTTTTTTCCTCCCTTTTTTCCCTCCTTTTCTTCCTCCTTTTTTTCTTTTTCTTCCTCCTTTTTCTTCCTTTTTCTTCCTTTTTTTTCCCCTTTTTTCTTCCTCCTTTTTTTCCCCTTTTTTCTTCCTCCTTTTTTTCTTTTTTTTCTTCCTCCCTTTTTTTTTTCTTCCTCCTTTTTTTTCTTTTTTCCTCCTTTTTTTCTTTCTTCCTCCCTTTTTTTTTTTTTTCTTTTTTCTTCCTCCTTTTTTTTTTTTTTCTTTTTTTTTTTTTTTTTTTTTTCTTTTTTCTCAAGGTGGCCAGGCTACCTTTTAAAGGAAACATGAGTTTTGTCATAGTGATGCCTTATTCGATTGAGTGGAATGTCTCAAATATTCTGGATAAGCTGAATAAGAGTGAACTTTACAGTCGTTTCCACAAGGAGAAGCCAACTTCACTGAAACTTCCAAAGTTGAATCTAAACTTCAAGCTGGAACTTACAAGTGCTCTGTCTAGTCTTGGTAAGTTTTACATGGTTTATGGCTTGATTCATCACTGGCATTACATTGTATATGAGAAACAGGATGGTCTGTTAGCCTGTTTGCACAAAAGCTGCTTGTTTTTTTCAAATGGATTTCAAGCAGTCCTTTTGTGCTAGATGGCAATGTGCTCATTGAGGTCCAGAGCCAAAATTCTGTTCTATGGCTTGAAGAGAGATGATAAACAGATCCAAAGGTCCAGAACTTAATGTTGAACTCAATGTAGATAATAAATACACAAATTCTCTGTGTTCATTAAATACTTTCATACCTGAATTTAAGTTGGTATCACCATGTGTTTTACCCAATCTGTGTCTCAGGGAGTCAGTGGACTTCCAGTGTTTGTAGGATAAGCTTGAAACAAGGCCCTTAAGATTGCCTTTCTAATGTTCTTCTGTACCACAAGGTCATCTAGAATTCCAAATATACATTGCTTTGGGTCTGACTGAATAGTGGTTTGAAATGGTGTTCAGAGTAGTAAGAATCGTTGTCCAATACCTGTGGAGCTCAGTGCATCTCCAAAGCATATGAGTCCAATCACCACAGTCCCTATGGCATCTGTCACATAGTGGTTCTTGTAGCATTCCCATGCTATAGAGCTTCACAGGAGTATAGTGGGTTAGCAAAAGTACAAATTGTGAGAGCTTCTGAGACACATTAATGGAACTCAATATAACCAGCTGCAGTTCACTGGTCACCTGTAAGAGGTGCCACATCACTTTCCCATTTGCTCTGCAACTTTACACAGATGATCCTCGAGAAATGCAACAAGCATAGCCTGGGATATGAAACCCTTAGAGGATGCGGTCTTTTGTATGAGATTAAAAATAGGGGTGGAAGACAACTGCCAGTCAGTCACATTACCCTGAAGAGCCACTGTACGTGTAAGCTGGGAATAGTAAAAGTACATATACTGAAGCAGCAAAGAATCATTCAGGAATATATGTCGTAGGTGTGTGACCACCTTCCCAAGTTCTACCTCCTGCTTGCATACTGTACTTTAGCAAGTTCTGTATATCTATTAAACCAGAAGGACTATAACTGGGAAAAACCAGTAACATGTTGTAACTGTTTGGCTTTATTGCAGATGTTTGTTGCATAAATCCTGGTTCACGCTAGCACAACATAACTATACTACTCAGCGACCAGGTGTGACTTTAAAGTGACTTTGATGTTGTGCGACTTTGGTTGTGGCCAATCCTAGCAATACAGTGTGACATAATTCCTTTTCCTACACTTATAACAAACCATATTATTCAACTTACAAGTTTTGGGTCACTCAGCGACTGAAAAGGTGTCAGATTGGTCATGGTGTACAGTCTTACCTCTTTACTTGGTTCTTGTATGTGGGATCTTCATCAATCATAAATCAATAAATATATCATAAATCAACAGACGCTCATGTACTAGGCTGATTAGCAGTTTGTTGTCCTGTGCTTTACAAATGCGTCTGGATGCTATTTCTGCTACACTGCTCACATTGTGAACAGAACTGTAACCATGTGATGTCCAGTCTGGCCATGTGGTTGGGAGCTGTGAAATATTGGGCAGTGACAATAGGAGCTGTCAATGGGACACTTTAGGAGGATAAGTCAACAGGGATACCCAGATACAGAGGTATACTATAGGGTTAAAAAAAGCCTCAAAAATTGCTGAGGAGTCGCACTGATAAAGACATAGGGCGAATTGCTGTCAAATTTTCATTGCAATCTGTGGGAGTCTTTACTGCAGAACAATCACCCGAAAGTAGTGCAAGAAGTGTTTTTTTGTTTTTTGTGTTTTTTTTTTTTTTTGTGTTTTTTTTAATGGGTACTGCAATTTAAGGCAGTACCCATTAAAATCTCACTTTACATGTCACAGATAACTGGAAAATCATGGTGTGGTGAACCAAGGCTAAGTGCGTATGTAGGGAATATTCTTTTGGATTATGGAGGTCTAGGGACTTGGACTGTGAGGGTAGATCCTGTGACTTTTATGAAATGGAAAAATATTTACACTGTAGAATCCCTTTTGATCTGTCTGCTTCCTGAGATTTTGCCAGGCTCCACACCTTGTGTTGTAAGTGCACTGCCACATAGTCTCCTCATATTCTCTGCACTGTAACTGTTCAGGTATAACCCTGGGGACCTGGTGTTTCCAATAGCAAGGCCCAGAATATAGAATTAATACAGAAAATGTTTGGTGGGTGTGATGGCGGAAATATAGGCGTTGAGGCATAAGTCATTTTTATAGGGTTAGTCTTTTCTACTAACAATAATTATAATTGTTTTGCACCTTCACCTTGTTCCTTAAATGTTTAAGCAAAGAGGATATAGTAGGTCAACTAAAATCAGGTAAGCTGTGGGGAAATTTGAGCTCTTAGGTATTTAAGGGAGGTTGTAATCGGCATAGAGCAAGATGACATATTTCCATCTAGTAACATCAAAGTTGACTTCGATCAATTAATGCCAAGTCCTGAGTATGTGCCAAACTCCGAGATGGTAGATCTCCTCCATCCCATGTCCTCTTCCAATCCCATTTCCTCCATCCTATGTCCTCCTCTTCCAGGAGGATAATTCTGTGCAGAGACAATCAGCAGTGTATGAACACAGCATCATATCCCAGACTCAAATGATTGATGTTCAGAAACCTGTCATTTTTAGAGTGAGACTAAATCCACATTTTGATTTTAGTTTTCGATGGAGCAGTGAAGGGTTAGAACCCCCCCCCCCCCCCCCCACAAACACTTCTGGAGACAACTACTTTTTTTTTTCTTTTTGGTCACCAGGGCAAAGAGCTCCTTGTCCCAGTGACCACCCCCACCCCCCCCATATGGAAAATCCAAAACTTTGAATTGATCCCAGAGGCAGACTGACAACTCATGGGGCCCCCGGGCAATAGGGGATCATGGGGCCCCTGTGTCCTTGCCCACACTCAAACCACATCCACAAAAGCCTATGAAAGGTACCAGGGGCATCTCATGGGGCCCCCTTCTGACTTTGGGCCCTTGGGCAGTGCCCGAGTTCCCAAATGGTCAGTCCGCCCCTGATTGATCCCCAGAACAGGAAAAGACAACCTTCCAATGGGGGCACCGGTTCTGGTAACAACTGTCCCCAAGGGCATTTCCCTTTCTGTTATGTCTATGAAACCTCACAATGGGACACAGATGGGAAGAGGTATGAATGGGGTTTTTAGGTCTGGAAAAGAAAGTTCTGGCTTTATGTATAATTAATTTAGTTTTATACATAATTAGAAAATCTAACAGGGTTTTATAATTACAGGAGATTTCCCCTCACTTCCTGTCTTGGTGTCACCAGAACAGGAAGTGGGGGGAATCTCAATGTAGACAGCTTGTTGTTGCCTTTTTTATAATAGCCAGCAATTGTTTCCTTACATATTAAATCTAATATATAATATGGACATGCCCCCACAAGGGGATTCATTCTCTCGCTCTCGCTCTCTCTCTCGCGCTCTCGTGCGCTCGCTCGCTCTCTCTCTCTCGCTCCCTCTCTCTCTCTCGCTCCCTCTCTCTCGCTCCCTCTCTCTCGCTCCTCGCGCTCTCGCTCTCGCGCTCCTCGCTCCCTCGCGCGCGCTCGCTCTCTCTCCCCCGCCCTTCTCCCTCTCTCCTCCCTCTCTCCCTCGATGTGGGAAAAAAGGGACAAAGCGAAATCATTTTTCCACCTTTTTTTAATGTGACCTATAAACTGTACAACTCAATTGAAAAACTTAAACCTTTTAGGGGGGGAGGAAGTAAACATAAAAAAACTAAAATAATGTGGTTGCATAAGTGTGCACACCCTCTTATAACTGGGGATGTAGCTGTGTTCAGAATTAAGCAATCACATTCAAAATCATGTTAAATAGGAGTCAGTACACACCTACCATCATTTTAAAGTGCCTCTGATTAACCCCAAATAAAGTTTAGCTGTTCTAGTAGGTCTTGCCTGACATTTTCTTAGTTGCATCCTACAGCAAAAGCCATGGTTTGCAAAGAGCTGCCAAAGCATCAGAGGTATCTCATTGTTAAAAGGTATCAGTCAGAAGAAGGGTACGAAAGATTTTCCAAGGCATTAGATGTATCATGGAACACAGTGAAGACCGTTGTCATCAAGTGGAGAAAATATGGCGCAACAGTGAAATTACCAAGAACTGGACATCCCTCCAAAATTGATGAAAAGATAAGAAGACTGGTCTGGGAGGCTGCCAAGTGGCTTACAGCAACATTAAAGGAGCTGCAGGAATATATGGCAAGTACTGGCTGTGTGGTACATGTGACAACAATCTCCCCTTATTCTTCATATGTCTGAGCTATGAGGTAGAGTGGCAAGACGGAAGCCTTTTCTTGCGAAGAAAAACATCCACGCTCGGCTAAATTTTGCGAAAAAAAAAAAAAAAAAACGCACATCTGAAGTCTCCCAAAAGCAAGTGGGAAAATGTGTTATGGTCTGATGAAACCAAGGTTGAACTTTTTGGCCATAATTCAAAAAGATTTGTTTGGCGCTAAAAGAACACCATGCCCACAGTGAAGCATGGTGGTGGCAGCAACATGCTTTGGGGCTGGTTTTTCTTCAGCTGGGTAGAGGGAATTATGAACAGTTCCAAATACCAGTCAATATTGGCACAAAACCTTCAGACTTCTGCTAGAAAGCTGAACATGAAGAGGGACTTCATCTTTCAGCATGACAAAGACCCAAAGCATACATCCAAATCAACAAAGGAATGGCTTCACTAGAAGATTAAAGTTTTGGAATGGCAGCCAGAGCCCAGACCTGAATCTGATCAAAAATCTATGGGGTGATCTGAAGAGGGCTGTGCACAGGAGATGCCCTCGCAAAAATATTCCAAATCTGTCAGATTGCAAGGAAGAGTAGGCAAATGTTGCCAAGTCAAGATGTGCCATGCTGATAGACTCAAACCCAAAAAGACTGAGTGCTGTAATAAACTAATATTTTATTGAAGCACCTTTTGATTTTAAGGGTGTGCACACTTATGCAACCATTTATTTTGTTTTTTATATTTTTACTTCCCTCCACCTAAAAGATTTCAGTTTGTTGTTCAACTGAGTTGTACAGTTTATAGGTTACGTTAAAGGTGGAAAAAGGTCTGCAATGGTTTAATTATTGAAATTATTTGTCATTTTTTTACATTTCAGAAACCTGACATTTTAACAGGAGTATGTAGACTTTCTCTATCCATTATCTATATGGATTATTCTGCCCCCCCCCCCTTTACAGCATTCACCTCTGTACATCCCCCCTCCCCCTCCATTACCAGCTTTCACCTCCTTCCCAGAGTTCTCAGCACAAATTAACCCCCCCCCCCCCCCCCATTTCCAAGCTCTCATCCCTGTCACACACACCCCCCACTCCTTCCCAGCTCTCACCTCTGCATCAAATCGTCAATCTTTCCACAGCTGTTTCTCTGAAGTACCACTCTGCCCCCCCCCCCCCCCCCTTTCCCTCCGCAGCTCTTTTGCCTTTGCACATATGCCCTCTTCTTGCTCTCCTCCATGTCTCACCTCTTCAGACATGCAGCCAACACCACTTGGGGGGCTTCTTCTATTCAGCATAGGCGGAGCTGCCCAAATCAGGCAGCTCTGTCAGGACTGTACTACAGAGCCGAGTAGAAGTTTTAGAGTGCTGCACTCGGCTCTGTTCTACAGAGGTTTTGACAGGGGCAAGGGACAAAAGCCGCATCTCGAATCTGTACATTAATATATATAGGCGGTTGAGACATTGCGACCCAGGGCTCCCGCAGGGGAGAATGGCACCAGCACACAGAGGATCACCAATATGGGTCCAAACGTTTTAATGAACGATCACATGGTTACAACAAGGTTACAATGTTTTGGCGTACCGCAGGACATCTTCATCAGGAAGTGTCACATGCCTAATGAAGGGGTCCTGCGACCCTCGGTGTGCTGGTGACATTCTCCCTTGCTTATTCTGTTCAGTTCCAGCTGATGGTTGCTGCAGCATCCACTTATACACACACAGCCATTTTTAACGCAGGAACATGTGCATTTGGATTGTATACTTGCATCCAGGGCCCCCGCAAGCACACAAAAGCCGATCAAGGAAGTAATGTAGAAAATGTCTACCGCCTCGTGTGCTAAGTGACAGGTTGCAGAGGAGAGGGCTGTCGGATGTTCGACTGAATTAAAGACCTGCCTGCAGGCTCGGGCCCCTCGAGACGCCTGGGCCCCTTTTACAGGTGTAAGAGCAAAAATAATTTTGCCTTCTAGATTGAACAGTTATCACTTCTACAGATTGACATGAAAATACTAGTGATATGTGTCTATATGAATTGGGGTCTGTGGGTTTCTTGCCCAGTTTTAACAAAAGAATGTTACCTCTAGTCATAGACGTTGGTAAACTTTGTTGCTGAAATGCAGCATTGAAGACTTTCAGATGTGGTAATATACGGTTTACAGCTCTTTTGGTAATCTATCATCATCACCTTACAACTGAGGCATGAACTAGTCACCATATGCACCTCCTCCAATGACATCGGTGAGTCTAAAAGTATTCGATGAGCCAAGAATAAGGATGGGAGTTTAAGGACTCTACCAAGTAAGTGTATTTGAGAAGATCTAGATCAGCGTAGAAGTTGACTAATTCTCCCAACACCATGACTGGAGAGTTAACTATTTTACCTGCAGAGGATAGAATTGCACAGGATAAAATTGCTCCTATATCGCCTGAGACGTTTGTAGAGAATAGACAATTTTCACAAGAAGGCAACTAATCTTCTCCTTGTGTTTTTAGTAGCTAGTTTGTTATAGAACCATTTACATTCAGCTGAGGAAGAGATTAGCTGCCTAACACAAGCCTGTATTTGCGCTAGTAATGAGTGATCTACAGATATGCATTTTTGTTTAGACTGATCCTACATAATTTTGTTAGGATATTTGAAACCAAATTGTTTACTACCTTTGCTATGCTTTAACAACCTGTTACTGGGGTCATAGGTACTATTGGCAAGTTGAAACACTTGGGATGTGGTATTGAGAGAGATAAAGTATAATAAATTATTGTTGCCTTCATATATATTGTAAAATATATATTCAAATGCTATGTTTTTTTTATTTTCAAAGTTCCACCATCAAGACAAAACCAAGTCTCAAACATTTTGCACATTAGATCTTCTACTAGTATATTTGTGTGTGTGTCTATATAAACATGTTAACCTACAGTATATTTTGTATATTCTAGCAACGTGTAGAGAGTAAATTCATGATGCCATGGCTGTTTTAATAGCTTTCCCTCTTTTGCTTTGTAGGACTTGGCCAACTGTTCAAAAACCCAGATTTGAGGAAGATTTCAGATGATGGCTTGGTTGTGTCCAGTGTAGAACATCAGTCTACGCTGGATCTCAATGAAGAAGGTGTGGAGGCTGCTGCGGCCACGGCTATTGTGACTTCTCGCTCTCTGTCAACCTTCAATGTCAACCGACCATTCTTATTCCTTCTGATTGACGACAACACTGGCTTGGTCCTGTTTTGTGGATATGTTTGTGACCCCAAACCTTCCGCTCCTAGAAAGAAGAAAGATCCTAGTTTCAACCCTGAATTTAAACCCTTTTCAAAGGGTTCTATACCAAAATAGGATGTTTTAGTTCTTGGAGGAAGCCCCAGCAATCCAAATAGGGATGTTTGACGTTGTCACTAGTGGATTCTGCACATGGAACATTTGAAAGGCGTGTATTGGTCTGTAATGACAGGCAGGTTGTCTTTTGTTTTTATTTTTTTTAAAGAAGTTTGAAGGAGCTCCAGTTCTATCTGAATCTATACATGTGGACAATCCTTTTCAGTTGTGTTCCCACATGTTTTTTGTCTGTATAAATGGTGCTTTTCATGCAGATGTTACATGCAACATTTTGTCAGACAATACTGATCATTTATCAGTTTGTGTATCCAGCTGATGTCCATTGTTGCATATTAAATTTTCATGAACATTTCTCCTGGACCATTCATTCCTTTCTAAATCTAACCAAGAAAGACAGTTTCTGGTGCCAGCAATTAATGGGCTTTAAAGCCTTGACTCCAGCCCTTTTATTTGTGTTTTGAGCTGAATAGAGAAGAGTTAAATTTTGTTATTTCTGACGGTGACCACAGTGGGGAGATTTTCCCCTACTTCCTGTCTCTATGATGCCAGAACAAGAGAACTGTTCCTCACACACCATATCCAAAACAAGATAAATGTGTTGGGCTTTAATTGCAAAAATGAGATCTGTCATAATTTCCAATGTGGATAAGGGAATAAAGATCAGCTATTCGGCACCACTTAACCTTATGAGAACTATTTAAGAACATGCGTTTAACGTTGCTTTCTCCTTTTAAACTAAATCATACCTAGTATTCATTTAAATTACTTTCAAGTTTTACCTGTGTTACAGATCTTCATAATCCTACTTCATATACAGCTCAGTAGTTTTTTTTTTTTTTTTTTTTTTTTTTTTTTTTTTTTTTTTTCTGTCCAGTAGCTATTTGTATCATATCAACAGAGACGTCTCTGTTGATATGATATACAAAGACCAATGATGTTTAGGCAAAAGCAGCTGTTGGATTGCAGTGTAGGTTTTAAGAAAACTGATCTGATTGGTTGCTATGGGTTTCTGCACACCATTGTTTTTTTACTCTTCAATAAAGCCCACTGACTGCACATAATAGAAATCATGTGGTTGACTTGCAATCCACATTGTTTTCTTTTTGTTTTGCCCATCTCAATCCCTTCATCAGAAATTGTAAGCTCTTAAAATCAAACGCTCTGCTTGGAAATCCCATGGGCAGATCTGAAACTAAAATTACAATTAAAATTGTTTCACTGAAGTCAGTATATAATAGGACAGAACCATTTAACAGCTGTTGCTGCAGTTTGATGAATATTGTTAGATCATTATCCTTTTAGAAATGTTCTGTTCAATAAAATTTTGCAGGCGATGGTTAATTTTTGTACTTTTTTTTTTTTTTCAGTCCTCCAAAAAAAAAAAATTCCTAATGGCCCCTGAGGAAAAATAATCTATAAATTCAGATTGGTTAAGTCAACAACGTTGCTGAGGGAGTGAAAGGGCAAAACACACTACTTAAAAGTTCATCATTTATTATGTTAATGGTTATTTTACAAAGTAATCATTAAAATCGAAATGCCAAGAGGGGTTACCGTAGATGGAAAAATAAATGATCCTGTTCTTAATAAACTAACTTCATAAACTTACAGGAAGCAATTGATGTTAATTTATGCACTAAATGTAATTATCACAAGTATAATTATGATTTTAATGGGAGCAAGGTACCTGATTGCCTGAGATAAAATAAAAAAAATACATTTAATGAAACTTGTCCACAGATTACATGTAGAACCAGTTCTATCACTGGGTGGAAAAAAAAATATGTAAATGTCATTCGCCACCATTTAAACAGTGACTTCTATTCCTATAACACAGGTCTGCAGCATAACTCCTCCTAAGGGATCGCACTGTTCTTTAGGGTAGTTCACATATGCATGTGGCTGGGAAATAAGTTTGAGACTGAACAAATGTTAGAAGACCGTGATTGAGGCGACATGGAATGGGGAGACAGTTTTGAGCTAAAATTGAAAAAGGCAGTGTGAAGCAAAGCTCTGTGTAGGATCAATTAACCCAAGCGACAATTACCACTACTAGAGAGGCTAGCGTTTGGAAGACTGTCATAACCGGTCTTCAACATACAATCTGAAAGCTTTCAACTGGTTTCGGTGATGAACCTATTGTGCAGCCCCAGACATAGGATTGAGTTGAAGGTTGCTTGGATGGGCTATAATAGCTGTCCCCATTGTTGCCTTCCTGATGAGGGATGTAGAGCTACTCCCGTGAAACAGCTTGTATTTTTGCCCTGGTTTCCCCCTTTCTTCACCCTGCAGCCAGGCACAAAGTATTTTCCACAGCAAGGTACACACACTTTAACTTGTCTTCAATGACCAGTCTAGGGGATTTGTTTTTGGAGTTTTATTGTAGAATTGGAAATAGGGATTGGGAATTTAGTAGGATACTCCAAGATTCGAACTATTTACACTGAGGACATCTAGCTGATCTATTGGTTGAGCACTGCTGAAGTCCTGGCTGAAAGCAGATAGCAGGCTTCTCTTTAAAGTGTAGTAGCAAGTAGTTTAGGAGTGAGCAAAGTCCCTTTTTAGCAGTAGTAATATTTGCAGGGTTGAGCTCCCCAGGTACAAGCCTGTTACGGCAGACTGTGGCAGTCCAAAAATAGCAGAAACTGAGCAAAGTCCCATGGAGTAGCAACAGTTGGACAAGCTCTTCAGAACACCAAGCAGGTGCTCCCTTTTCTCAGACCCATGCTGTTTATCAAGCACCAAAGGAAGGGTTGCAAAGCACACAGTCTCAAGATCTTTCGGTGTCTGTAGTCACAAGTCCAAGGACAGAATGGCAACCTCCCTCCAATCTTCCCAGCAACCCTCTCCAGTGATACCAGACAGATCTTTGGCAGACCGTTACCCTCCGTCTGCTTACTGTAGAACCAGTGTCACTATTCCTAACTTCAGGCCCTTAGGTCGCTCCCTTGAGGCCTGCATGGCAACAAGTGCCAGGTGAGGCAAGCCTGGCTTGGTGCAATCCTCTCTGGGGAAAACCGCTAAACCCTTGTGCTCACAGAACGTAAATACCACTCCAGCATAAAATGGGGCCACCCTCCCCTGCATTTGGCCAGGGCTGTATCCATATTCATACTGCTTATTTGCCTAGTTCCCTCCCAGGTTCTGGAAGGCTCTACTAGCTTTCTGAAGGCGGGCAGAACTCGAGGCAAAAGCAGCAGCAGCACAGAGCATCATGAGCAGACCTGACTAGTCCATCACAGTACTCAGGAAAATCTAATTTGGCTCTCTGCTTGACTAACAGTCTCTCTGTTAAAGCGGAGTTCCAGCTGTTTTTGTGTTTTATTAAAGGTCAGCAGCTACAAAAACTGTAGCTGCTGACCTTTTAATAAACACACTTACCTGTCCCAGAGTCCAACGATGTTTTCACCCGCGCTCTCCCTTCTCGTTTCTCCTCCGCTGCGCCAGCATCTCAGCTGCGGGCACCAGGCTGTGACAGCTTGTGGCTTCACAGCCCGGTGCCCACTGAGCATGCGCGAGTCTGGCATTGCTCCTCCTGATTGGTCTGGCAGTCTTCTAGGACCTGTGAAGTTCCCAGGAGACTGCGGGAGGGAGGAGAGGGCTGAACTTCTGGCTCACTGAGCAGGACGTGGGAGCGGGTACCTGTCAAAAACGGGTATCTGGCCCCCCCCCCAAAATAAAGGTGCCAAATATGATGGTGGAGGGGGGAGGAGGCAAATAAGCAGAGCTTCCACTTTGAGTGGAACTCCGCTTTAAGCATAGAAACACAGCTATGCTTCTCCTGACTATACAAATCATAGCACCTAACTAGGAAGGTGTTACAGGGATATAGGTGGCATCTGCCATCACCTCTCCCCCCCCTTCCCTACTTTTATTTTCATATATGGCACTCATTGGGAACAAGCTACCCTCTTAGTTCATCTGCTGAGAAACATGAATGCAGTCTGATGACATTGGATATCTACCAATATCGTAAGGATTCTAAGAACTTCTTGGCTAGATCAAGATGGTAATCTGTGCAGTGCATGTGTGGTCACTTATAAAAGCCTTTGGAGTGAACTGTAGAAGAGGAATCCAAATCATTTGAACAAATATGCAGAGATAAAGCACAAAAAAATGACATTGATCAGACTGAATGTGATGATTTATCACAACTAGAGATGAGCGAATTATTCAAAAATTCGATTCGGCTGATTCGCCGAATTTGCGGGAGAAATTCGATTCGATGCGAATTTATTCGCCACGAATTTAACTTATTTAAAGGGTTTCTAGGCTTCAGAGAGCCTTTATATTGTGCAGAACACTGTACCTTTAATTTAAATGCCCTTGGAGCCTGCTGGGGAAGAGAAATAATACTGTCAGTCAGTATGACATGCAGATGAGTGCCGTCGATCTTAGAATCGCCGCACACTTCACTCATTTGGGCAGTCACGGGGCACGACGAAGAAGAAGAATGAAAAGAAGAAGAAGAAGAATGAAAAGGAGAAGAATGAAAAGAAGAAGAATGAAAAGAATGAGAAGAATGAAAAGAAGAATGAAAAGAAGAAGAAGAATGAAAAGGAAGAAGAATGAAAAGAAGAAGAATTAAAGTACAGCAAAAAGTATATCTGCAGAGAGCTCCGCTATTTCTGACAGTTCTCTGACAGTTCCTTTACATTTACAGCGGTTGAAACATTGTATCTATTTATTTCCGAATAAAAACATCTGTATCCTAAATGGAAACAAATAGATACAATGTTTCAACCGCTGTAAATGAACTGTCAGAAATAGCGGAGCTCTCTGCAGTGACACTTTTGCCGGCTGATCGGGAAAAAATTTGATTCGTGCACCCGAAGTTTGCTAAAATTCTGATTCGATGCGAATCAAATTTTTCCTGATATTCGAAACGAATTCCACTTCGCCAGGTTCAATTCGCTCATCTCTAATCACAACCTGTCATTTGGTTGTATTGTCCCCTTGGCTGTGCTTTGTCTTCTCTGTGCATCTCACTAAGGTTCTTA